ATACAAAGAGAACTTCAGTGCTTCAGGTGGGTCATCGTGCTATTGTGCTGTCGTGGTAACACGGCGCAACAACACAGTATGAAATAACATAGCCGGACAATAGGCAAGTTTAATTCGATGGAACTATAACACGATAATACTGTCGTGTAAAAATGTTATAAGTGCTGTAAATTTATGTATCTGCATTTTTATTTGGTGGTGTTATTGATAGGAGCTCACATCGGTTCGAATCCCAATCGGATCGAATTATTTTGTTTGTAAGCTACACAGCTCTAGTTTATGAATATTGGTGTTTTTTTTTCTGAAATACTGAACGACAGGCATATTAGATATTCCTCCACTCTAATAAAAAAGCTGCAAGTCTTTACATGAACTTAAGTATTTTGTACCATCAAACATGACCAATAACCAGTTATTTAAATGTTTTAAAACAATGTACGTAAATTGGCGTTCACAGCCGCATAATACACTGTTAACGCAAAAACGTACGTGGTGCTTAGAGGGTACCCGTACGTAAAAATGAGCAAAAGGTGTATTTGTTAATTCATTTAATAAAAGTTAAAATGACAAACGTAACAGAGATATATTTCAAAACCAGCCACATCAATACTTTTTCTTATATTTATAACTCAGTAAAAGCGCTTGAGTAAATCATCAAGTAATAAAGGGGAATAACTCCTGAGGGCATAGAATGGATTCACACTAGCCCTGTTCAGCTTGTCTAAATTATTTCATAATGCAGCGAGCTTGTTATGGTTCTCATAATCCGGCCAGTTCGTTTTAGATTTTTAGTAATGCGACTAGCTTGTTTTGGTTCTTTTATCAAGGTTCTTTCATAAAATTATTTCTTAATGTGGCCAGGTTGTTGTTTTTTGTTTGTTTTGTTCTTCCTTTCATAATGTGGTCAGCTTGTTTGTTTTGGTTCCTACCTTTAGGGTTCTTTCATATTTTGTAACCAGCTTCATTTCAGATCTTATATCTTAGTGATTTTGAAATGCGGCTAGCTTGATTTGGTCCTTAAATCTAGGTTCTTTCATAATGCGACCATCTTGTTTTTATCTAGGTTCTTTCACAATGCTGCCATATTGGTTCATTTTGGTTATTGTATTAAGTTAAACCGGAGCGGTGGCCTTGTGGTTAAGGTGTTTGCCTCTGAACCCAGAGATCATTGGTTCGAGCCCTACTCGGGTCACGACCATGTTTCTTTATATGACACCAGTACTGGTTGGTTCAAGGTAGCGGACTCGAAAGTGATTAATATAAGTTGTAAGAACTTGTATCGCAATCGAGCTTAGATATTAGATAATGTTTAAACCAATATAGATTATTCTATTATGTAGCCAGCTGATCTTGGTTCATATATCAGGGCTTGCTCATATATTGTACCTTCATAATAAAGCCACCTTGATAATTATTTTTTCAACATATTACACCTGCACAATACGACCACCTGAACTTGTTTTGATTGTGAAGAAACTTGTCAAGGTTCAATCATGTGTGTACTATTTATTCCTGGACTAACCAGTACTATAGTGTCACATAATGATTATTTCCCCAATAGGACACAACATCCAGGATAATTGTGTTATACAGCTACAGACCTCAAGTTTACCTTACAACGATACTGATTTACGTACATATATATTTGTATATGATAACCAAAACATCAATGTTGTTTCACAATTTCTTTTTTATTCAATATATGAACTATGATATAATCTACATACATGTATAGAACATTAATTTATAAAAAATACAAATTTCTGTAAACATATCATATTTGCAATCAGTACTGACAGTATAATTATTATAATTTACATAACAAAATGTACTTTTTCATATTTATCTCCCTTTACTAGATATTTAAAACAGTAAAATAGTAATCTCTTAATTCTAATATTTTCTTAAACTTGTAAAAAAGTCAAATCTGTTGTAAATATCAGATTGATGAAAATACAAAAATGATTAGAGCACCGCTAGACGGAGCATTATATGCCCAAAAGTGATTTATTTAGTAAACTTTAAGATGAATCATTTGTAAGATATGGGAATTAAATGAAGTATTACCTCCTTTAAATTACAGTCCTCCTATGAAGTTTGAATATTGTTGGCCAAATGGAACTTAAGTTATGCTCCAGAAACTGTTTTCAATTATAAACTAATATTGACTTGACCTTTGACCTTCTGATTTCAAAATCAATAAGGATCTTCTACCCAATATGGACAATCATACTATGAAGTTTGAACACTGTGGGCCAAATGGAACTTAAGTTATGTTGCGGAAACTGTTTTCAGTTTTAAGGTAATAGTGACCTTGACCTTTGACATTGTGACCCCAAAATAATCAATAGGGGTCTTCTACCCAATATGGACAATCAGCCTATGAAGTTCGAATATTATGGGCCAAATTGAACTTAAGTTATCGTCCTGAAATGAAATTGCTAACGGACGGATGGACGCCAGGGGGTGTAACATAATATGCCCGAAATTCTTTCCGGCATATAAAAATGATAGCATTTCTGAGGTAAAATAGGTCTTTAAGCAACATTTCATCAACCTTAAAAAAAATCATTATAAATTTTCATCATTACATGTCAATATAAAACAATAACATAAATTATATAAATTACAACAGCCTCTCTTCTATTGCAAATAAGTTGCAAATGACCTTAAATGCCGTTTTGTCAGAAGGATAATATGGTATTTCATGTTAAAACATCATACAGACTTAAAGGCCCAAAATGCCTCAGAAAAAAAAATCATTTTATTTTAAAACTTTTTTAGTATCTTGTTACAAATTGAAAAAAAAAACTCATTCCTCATAAAATTAAACCATCTTTGATCAAGCTGCTTTGTTGGAAATTAGTTTAATTGTATTAAATTATTATTTTGTATGAAAGCAAAACTACTACTTTTGTTGACATTTTGTTAACTAAATTTATGACATATAACTGATTATTCAGCACTACTTTCCCCAGCTATTAAACATCTTACATGCTTTTAATGCATTGTACAGAAACATTATTAAACACACGTTTGACATTTCTAAAGAATTTAATAAAAACATTAAAGGTATGCTCTTCACAAAAAAATAGTATAAACTGTTAAAAAGTTGAATAACTACAAAATTTACACACAGCATATATACCTAAATAAGATATTCCAACCAAAACGTTTTATGTAGATACATTGAATTGTGTACAATTGTGTCCCGACAATAAATAAAATATGTAAATTTACAATGCATATTGAGCAATAATGCTGAACTATGCACAAAACAGCAATTTACTTCAAAGGTTCGAAACAAAAAATTAAGCATTGAAACCTTCAAAATGGCTTTAAGTCTAAAATGTGTTATAATGGGGTATGATTTTTATACACTGCAGTTTTCTTTATGAGATCAATCTATATATGAATTTTAAAGTTCTTAACTTGAAAACGTTAAACATTAATCTGGTGGGACAAAACTAAACATGAAAAGGCATGAGAGAAAACTAAGATGATTCTTGAATAATTAATTTCTTTACAACTTTGTTGTATGAGAGTATAATTACTGATATGATTGTGGTTTTAGAGAACGGGCGCTATATTGAATACATATACATATACATAACACAAAAATATATTATCATAACACAAAAATAATTATCTTTGTAAATTATATAAAATCATACTAAGGAAACTATATACATATGTATACACACAAAAAACATTTCTTAAAGTAACAAGGCCATGATGACCCTAATTTGCCATATTTCTCATAGTAGCATGATAGTCCCATCCCTCTGAATGTATCCTAACTATTGTGTTACCTGAATGTATGTAACTTTCTTTATTATATGTGCATAGGTAAGTAATATACATATCACTTTCTTATCACTAAATATCAATTATGTACATGTATATACACATAGTAGTTTGACAATGAGATACACAGTACCTCAGACACAAAAATGGTAAGAACTTATAGATAACTATAAATATTGTATATACTTAAGCGAAAAAACCCATCTAATTTGACTAGAACATGGATAAGCAATACATTAATATATTATGTACAAATATACAATCCAAGCTATAACTGATAGACACACCTGAACACAACTAAATAATGATTTGCATTTTCTTGCATGTAAGGACTTGAGAAAACTACATTTTTTTTGATTAATAATATCTGTCATAAAATTGTTGCGGTTCGGATAGGAATATCGGATCATCCCAAAGGGACCTGCCCATTGGGCAGTAATGAGATTTCCCGAGTTACCACCAATAGGCAGGTCCCAAGTTTGGGACGGATATTCCGGTCCTAATCGAAATCATTTAAAAAAAATTATACACATGAAAAAAAACTATTGTACAAGAATAAAACATAATATGTTTTTTTTCAAAGCTTAGGTCATTATGAAGATATAGGTTCAACTTTTTCACTCTAAAATAGCGAACATAATTGATCTGATTAAATAAAAACAATTTTAATCATACTTTCTTGAAAGTGAATTGGTCTATAATGGAAAATATGTAATGCTATAAATAAATATGATATTATTCAGTATCATATGTTAAAACAAACCACAAGAGAATTACAACTAGCTGTTGTTGGTAAGTGTTTCTAAAAACATGACCTGATATGGCATATCAATATATAGCATATAATTAATACAGGACTCTAGAGCAAAATAGTATTGTTCATCATATATTGTGATGATACTAAATCTCTTTAGTAGATCTTTATCTATCAACATTTTTTGTTTTCATTAATATTTCATAAGAATATTCCAAAGTCACATATCTTATGTTTTTACATTACTTTATATGGAAAAAAGAAAAGTTTTCCCCTTTTTAGACGAACCACTTTTTAAAAAACAAGCGTTTTTTTACAAGTTTTCATTTGGGGTTTTTTAATGGGTATATTAATTTTACAAAAAAATCGAAGGGAAAAATTAAATATTTACATTTGGGCCCTTGTTTAAAATTTCTTTCAATGTGAATTCTCCTGAAAAAAACAAGTTTAAGTACAAACGATGCAAACGTTTGCTGGTCTGTCTTTGTTTCAGCAAGGAACTAAAAGATTGTACAAGGTATTGGTGATGCACTGTTTTTTTATATGTTTCTGTTAAGCCAGGAACCAGGTGTTAAAACTTCATATTGGACTCCAGTAGAAGCATAATCATCATTGTCACTGTAGATTTACTCGAGCTGATTTTCTGAAAAAAGTATAAAGACGAATAGAGAATAAATAAGAAAATTGAAATATAACAGCGGGTAATAGTGTAGATTACAGGATTTATTATCAAAATTATGTTTTATGTATTTTATGATTCACATACATTTAAGGTGAACTTAAGTAAATCAAATTTATAGACTTCCATTAGCCAGGTTGTTTTATTTATAGTAAGTACCTAACATTATTGATTATATTGACATGTGTAAACATTTTTTATAAATTAGATTATATAACATATATATAACACACCTAGCCCAATGGCTTATACTTAAGTCTCACTTATTTGTGAAAATAGTTGCCATAAAAAGATAGAAATACAGATGGAATATATTAAAATTGCCTTTTATATGAATCCATGTTTTTTCCCCAGCTTTTTGGGAACATGATCTATACCCATGGAATTGGGAATTTCAGCGATGTTTTGTTAAAAATTGGGAAAAATTACATAACTTAAATTTTGCAGTGGTTAAATGAATGAATAGAAGAACTGTCTATGATGGCATCTGCAATTATTTCAACACCATAACAGAGAAGAAGCCCTTATTTTCAAAGATTTTGGAATTTGTCAATATTTTTATTTTGTTACTTTCAATTGGGATTTTTTTCCTGTGGATTGGGAAAATAATATTCTTTTTTTAATTGGGAACATGACCAAATATAAAATAAGGCAAAAATCCCTATCGGATCATAATATGTCCACGTCCTGACACATGAGTAGAACCACAGACCTTCTGTAAGCAAACTGAATTGAATAATACATCTTCCGACGGCCAGCTGAAATGAATTATTTAAGCATATAGGTTTGAATACAAGTAGAATTACGGACCATCTGTAAGCAAACTGAATTGAATAATACATCTTCCAACGGCCAGCTGAAATGAATTATTTAAGCATATAGGCTTGAATACAAGTAGAATTACGGACCATCTGTAAGCAAACTGAATTGAATTATTTAGGCACGAGTTGATATCCGATTAGAGTCAGCCAACTTAATTGAATAATATAGGCATGCGCCGACAAGTTCAGAGGAGAACCTCGGGCCTTCCGTGAAGGAACTGAATTGAAAATAACACCTTCCCCAAGCCAGCTGAATTGAATTTTTTAAGCATAAGCTGGTATCCGAGTAGAACCACAAACCTCTGTAAGCCAACTGAATTTAATCATTTAGGCAAGAGCTGACATCTAAGTTGAACCACTGCCTTTTCAAGCCAGTCATATGAATCAACTTTAACTATTTGATATTATGAAGCTGATATCCGTTTAAGATATCCGAGTTCAGCTGCCAAACTGAGTAAAAATACAAGCATGCGATGACATCACAGTATAAACCTCATATCTGTTGCAAGGGTCTGGGCATAATAGCTGACATCTGAGTCAGCTAAATGAATCTAACTATTTGGCCTAAGTTGATATCTGAGTAGAACAACAGACCTTTCATAAGATAATTACTACCAAACTATGCTTATGATGGTATACAAAATTTAATATTTAATATTTTTTCAACAAATTTACTCAAAATCGTCTTTTTATGAATTGGTTGAATGAAGCAATTGTCTTCTGCATGGAAGCTGTCTTCGATATTTAATTTACTATCTTTATTGGATTTAATCGATAGGTCTGTCAATCATAAAGATAATTTAAGACTGACCTTGTCAACAAAGGAACATGGTATTTTTTGATGCTCGAAATAATCTGTAACTCCACAAATCCATATTCTGCATCACAAAGAATTTGATCTCAGGCCTCTGAAACGAGAAATAAGACATAAGATTAACGCATATCTTATTAATGGGGAAATTTTGCAAAACATTGTTTTATTCAAATGTAGTCAAAGAGGGCCATGATGACCCTTATGTCGCTCACCTGATTAATAAAGGCCAAACTGACATGGAGCAATTAATTTTGCAAGTTATGAGTGAAAAGCAGATATTGATTCTAATCATGAACTGATAATTATCACAAAGTTCATATTTGCATCTGAAATATTGTACATTTAAGATTAAAGTCACCGCAAGGCGGGACCTGTAAAGCTCAGTTTTTTTCTGTTTTGCTAGGGAAATCACTGGTTGCTAAGTAAAGTCAAAATTTGTTTAAGAAATCAATGGTTGCTATGAAAAGTCAATGGTTGCTATGGAATGTCTTTGGCTTCTATGAAAGTCACTTGTTGCTATGGAAACGATTGCTTTTGAAAACAGTGGTTGCTATGGAAATAAATGGATGTTATATATTATGTCATTAGTTGCTAAAGAAGTTAAGGGTTAAGTATTGAAATATCAATGGTTGTTTGGAAAGATTAATAAACATTTAATTAAAGGAAAATCCATGACTATTTGGGTGGGGCAAATATCGACCCTGATTCTTTGATTTGAACTTGCTAGAATTCACAAGTCAATAGTTTATGCCAATAGTTCAGATCTCTGGTTTTATAGAAGTTGATTATATTCGTCTTAACTATCAAAATGCACACGCGTATGTATTTTAAAAAATCTAAGACCCCTGGGGGCTAGTTCAATAAATATGGCCTCAAGGACTACAATTTGAACAAACTTAATAGTGGTCCACAAAACAATATTTCATGCACAATATCTAAGCTTTAGCCTTCATGCTTATACAGAATTAGATATCTCTTTTGGTTTTTGTTTGAGGAACACTAGACAATGTTTTATGTAAAACACCTAAGCTTTAGGCCCTTGTATATTGAAATGATCATTAAAGTTATATGTGTAAATCAAAAATACATGACCCCCTTATGATCCATTGCAGTTATTAGTTAACAAACTTGATTGATTTCCACTACACTATCTGTCTTGACAAACATATAAGATTAAACCCTCACTGTATAAGAGATGAATATCTCAAATATTACCAATATACTATTGAGGAAAATCTAAGACCTCCATTCATCCCCTCCCCCCCACCATGTAGGATAAATATTGACCCCAGCACTACTACTTAAACATATTTGGTTGAGGTAATCTAGAAATGTTTAATGCAAAATACTTAAGCTTTAGTCTTTAGTCTTAATTGATTATAAAAGATAACTTTTTAATTATAAGAACAAATTACTCCCTTCCCGCGACCTGGCTAGGTATGTTGAGACCCTAGCCTAATTAATTCGGCGTGAACGGTTTGACCCATTTTACAGACATTTTTCTTACTGTCAAACCCCCTCGAAAATATCCCAACCAAAAACGCCTAAAACTGTAAAACCGAAACATAAATACCCAAGTCATGAGTGCCAAAGACGGCTCTGGTAGGTGCAAGTGCTCTCTTGCGCCTGTTTAAACATAATTCATCACTTAAACATAATAATGTTGAAATTTTGAATCAACACTCACAAAATATGGCGGTAATCCTGGAATTTTCAATGTGACACACTCGAGGCGCCGTTAAATGAAAAGCGGGAACTAGATAACATGGAATTTTTTAAACGGGTATCAGAAGTTTTGGCATCATGGCAGAGTTATAAAATAAAAAAGGCAGTTCAGAAATTTCACCTAATGATCACAGATGTTAAAAAAACCAACTTTATAATTTCTAATTTGACAATTTATTGAATATAAACAGACTTAAGGTCTCAACCCGGTACGGAATAAGACCGAACCCATTGTAGTGTAGAAAGTTGTTCTTTAAAATTTTGAAATGGCACAATTTCAGTCATCTCTAGTTAGATTGGTCATAATTAAAGTGTATTTATTGCATGTGTGTAGTTTTTGTGTGTTATATGATGACTTTAAAAGTAGTTTTTTTGTGTATTCTCCAGGAATTCATTTATTGGTGGAAGGATTAACGATGTACTACCCACCAGCTGTCAGGAGTTTTTAAAGTGGTGAATTTAAACAATGTTACAACAGAATGAAGATTTCTGAAAAAAGTAGACAGTTAACCTCTTATATTCTGGGCCTCATTGGACTAAAATAGTGTTAATGTTTAAAGTTGAAGACAGTATATAGTTCATCAAGAACATTGGAATCCAGAATTAAGCCTCAAATTTGACTGATTTACTATAGAACAGATAGTACGAAAATTCACTGGGCCGTATCCTTAAATGCAGTATGGTCTGACGTCGGACACCATAAACTATTTAATTTCTAAGTAAGGATATCAGAATTTCCTTTTTACATTTTATTTTTAATGCTGAAATAATCTTGTGTGAATGTAAGAGTTATTCCTTCAATAACATAAACAAATTGTATAATAAAGCTTGCGTATACAATCGATTACCACCGATACCTGTGATACACCATGAAAATTTTCCAATTATACCATGACACTGCTTGCATCATTCTTTCTTTATTTCCAATATGGCCGCTTTCAATAATTGTCAACGATTTAAAAAAATACAGTGGAATATTTAGACTTCTGTTCGACTTTGAAGTATGATTATTTGGAACCTAACATAAAAAACGGTTCTCTTTCAGGTAATGTAGGCCGTTTCTTTCAAAACTTCTCTAGTTTACGCTCCCAACAACTTCTAATTGGGAAGCGTCCGTGCATAAAAAAGCAGTTCGTGGTTAGACTTGAAAAAAAAAGCGATCGTCCAAAATTATCTCGGTGTCTCTTTGACAAGTCTAATTAGTTGGACTATTGAGACCCTAGGGTTTTAAGTTTAACAAACAATTACTACAAGTTGTCAGGACAATATTTCATGTAAAAATCTTAGCTTTAGACTTAACGATTCTAGAGAATCAAATTATTTCTAGTTTTACTTTATACGTATATATGGAAAAGCTAAACCCTATTGCCCCCATACCTAGTCAATTAAGACCCTAAGTCTATACTCGTATAAACTTGGTTCCTTCACTGCACAATGTTTGATGCCAAATTTCAAATATTTTACCTTTAATTTATGGTTTAAAGTAGCTTAATTAATTCGGCGTGAACGGTTTGACCCATTTTACAGACTTCTTTTCTTACTGTCAAACAGTTGGAAAAAGACAGCGCCTGTCCAAAATTATCTTGGTGTCTCTTTGACAAGTCTTATTAGTTGGACTAGGTTTAAAGGAAATTGGTTGACAGATCACCATCAAATGTTATTAATTTATAATTTAAAGATTCTGGCAATAAATGATACAAAAAGATAAAAATCTAACGAGAACAATATTTCTGAAAATGAGAAAAAAAAAACAATCTTAATTTTTATATAAATAAATTGTATAGTAGATAATAGAGGGTTAACTAATAACGTGGTTCCCCTATGTATATATATAGTATATGTTAAAATAATACTTTATATTGAATATAAAATATTTTGGGACTACCTTTTGTCCCATTTTCTTATCCAATCAAATGCTCCAATTTATTTGAAATATATTGCATACACTACACCGGGACTGGTGTATGTGAAAAATACGTTGAAAAAAGTTTTAACAGGTATTGACGTGGTATCTGGCAAATATGACGTTATGGATATGGTCGGAGTTTTAAATTAGACAATGAATGAAGCATGCGAATAAAGAAAACAAATAAGATAACGTTTTCATACGGTTATTTATAAATCCAAGATTTAATTATAAAAATAATTGAAACAGTACATTCCCTATACCAACATGGTTATAATTCAAACATTAGAAAACAGTTAATGGCTGATAACTGAAAATAATTGACATGGAGTGAGAGAAATCCACTAACACATATCTTTAAAAAAATCATACAGAATATCCATTTTTCATAATTCCAAGACACATTTTGTTAAAAACTCCACTTTTTTAACAGTTGACTTCGATCCCTATACCCTCGTTTAGTCAACTCGCGCATGCGTGGATCCAATATACTGCAAAGACCAGAAAAAAAGATCTTCAGTTTTAACAAAGTTCACGTGCATGGATTTTTCATTTCGAAGATACCGTAGTCTTGCAGCAATGTTTAGTGAAGTTGTTGAAGGAAAGAATACTCCATTTTTTCCTTTCAATTTCACAGATGTATCTTTGCGACCAAAAATCCATTTCTGCACATGAACGGAACTGCTCTTTATCAACGGGAATAGAATAACCAGGCTCTTGCTTAGTCTCCAGTTGTAGCCAACTCCCTCCAGACGGACACTACCCAGTTGTTGTTTTTCGTTGTATTATAGGGCACTGTATTTCTGTTTCTTGACAAAAGCTTTTCAAATCGGCAGGAAAAATGCAAATACCAAAGAAATCACTTAAATATGATTTAAAGTTTTTTAAAAATTGCAACGGCAGTTTAGGCAGATTAATTATGTTATGTTTGAATAATTTACCGTCATCTACTTTGAGGTTCGGTGCTGGTTGGGTGTTGAAAAGCTGCGCGCCTGGACATATTTTCATTCAGATAATGATGCAGTTAGATATTGCAAGAATTCGAGAATATTGTTTTTATTAAATATATACCTGAGCTATTGCCTCTTGTTGCTTGTGTCTGCATATAAAACCTGCGTATCAATATCAAGCATCCGTGACCACATCAATTTGATTCTTGCTATATTCATTATGTCAAACAGGATTGTTACATGATGACTAATGATGTAACAATGCATAAACACGCAAGGCTTTGATTGATAGGTCAAAACTATCCGACTATGTGTTGGCCTGTAAATCTTTACTAGTTAGGGTGGGACTCGTATTACACTAAACGCTGTACCGACACTTCGTACGTGACTTATTCCAGGAAAATGGGTCGAACGGTAAGCCAGTTATAGTTCATATTTTATAAAAATAAGAACTAATTGCTGCGCTCCGCTACGCTACGCTTGCAATAAATTCCATATTTTCTAAAATCTGAACTATAACTATTACATAAAAAAATTATGATAAAAAAATTTAATTAAAAAGTTTATTTATTTATATCAAGTATATGTTGGTGTTCATCCGTGCTGTTCTACAGAAATAGAAACTTTGACGGGAGCGATATAGTAATTCACGAGTTTATAATGTAAGTGCCACACGCGTTTTAAGTTCGAGACCGCGTCGGTCCATTTTTTCACCTTATTTATACTTTCAACATTATTGAAGCTATATATGATTTTTTATGTTGTTCGTTTTGTTTTATTATATATATGTTTTACTTCATTTTGTTATGTCTATACTCTTTTTAAATAACATATTTCAATAATCATGTTTAAAATTTAAACGGATTAAAATCAACAAATGTCTTTTCAATGCCGTAAAACACACTACAAATCTGTTCCATTAAAACCTACTGCATAAATAAAGAAAGACTACTAAAACAGTTGCAACAGTAAGGATCGAACCACAGATATCTCATTTATCAGGCATTCTGTAATCGACTGTGCTATTGTAAATAAACGAAACCTTTACATAAAGCTGGCGTGACTTTCAATCCATGACTAATATACTCCACATTAATTCTCATAAACTACACGGACGAAGCCGGAGTGGGATCGAATATTTAAATGAGTCATATAATGTATTCATAATTGACAGGTCAATAAAATCAGACTTTAATATAAGAGTATTGTTCACTGTAAATTATCTATTTCAGTTCTTACATATGCATGTATGAAAAAAAAAACATTCAATATAAATTCACTTACCTGTGAAATATTTCCATATCCTAATCCAACTTTAATATCCATTAAGTTCCGTCAAAACTTCCTTGAATTATTTCCATTCATTAAATGTTTTTATTTATAAACAATTGTCACTTAATTTATCAATTGAATACAGAAGTACATGTCTGTCCTAATTAAAGTTTGAAGAGCCGCCATTTGTTTCTAAGTGTCCATATTTAAATTGTTTTGTTTATCTAAAATAATTGAAATAATTTATTTATTTTATTTCACAATGTTTTTTTTCTTTCTTGTCTATTCTTTGCTTGGTTTTATTGTTTTGAACTCAAATGACTGCCACTCACCTTCTTCTTGTATCACATGAAAAGTTTGTGAACTCCGAATATTTTCTTTAACACGCGGTTCAATATCGCCAATCTTTACTGTAACTGACTGCGGCAGATTTGCCAGCAGGGTAATAAAGTTCTGTAAGCTTCCTGCAGACATTTCTATCCCCCCAAAATCCATACGTTCAATATTCAACATGCCATGTGACAGTAACAATGAACTTTCATCTAGATTTATGTACATCAACGTAACATTAACTAATGACGGTGTTGATATATTTAATTGTAGCCTCCCAAGTAACTTCCCCAAGTGTAACTTTGACAGAGTTGAATGTTTAGACAAGTCCAAGTTCAATCTCTTACAATCACTCCAGCCATGTTCTTCACAGCCTATCACTGCCAATGTTAACTCTTTCATTGATTTTTGACAGGAGATAAAATTGAAAAATGTTTCCAGTATGTTGTGAGATAACTTGAAGTCGTCAATATATAAATATTGTAAGTTTTGACATTGCGCCATGTTTTCACTCAGATTTTCTTCAACATTTGTCCATTTACCACACCGCAAAGTAACAACCTGTAAACTGGGAAAAAATATACGATTTATCTCAGCCTCCTTCATCATGTCACCATCATAGTAAAGTTTTTGTATCTGACTTAGATTTGAGAGAGAGAATAAATCTATTATTTCACGTAAACTGCTGGAAGTATCTCTGGTTTTTATATAAAGTGATTTTATGTTGGTTTTATTTTGTTTTAACAACTGTTGTGACTGCTCACTGCGCACGGTGCTTCCGACGATGAAGAAATCTTGTAAACATAATTGAAAATTTTTACGTTTAGGCATTTTCACTTCAGGGATTTCTTGTAAACACGACATGAACATTTTCTGTATGTTATACAAAGGATTATTGTACACGTACATCATCTCGCGACCTGTCCTAGTTCTATAGTCGCGTGATTCCTCGTCTTTATTTATCACAGACATAAAATCATTTGATATTGCACACATCCGGTCAGCATTCATTCTACTTATAAATTCACAAATTTTTGACATGTCCAGAATGTCTTGAACATATCTACATTTTTCTTTCACAGTTTTGTGAGCATCTCTTTGAAAACTTATAAATATGGCGGCAAAGAATTCCTGAACTGTTTTGTGGGAAAACGATACTTTACTAATCTTTTTTGTTAGTGTGTTGGATGTACTTTCTGACAGCATTCCTGAGTGAAGGGTGAATTTAATCTCGTCTTGTGTGAGATTTTTTCCAGCAATTGATCCATCAAATACCAGCGTGTTTTCTTTTGTTTCGTTGAATAATGTACAATAAGCTAATTTCCCTATATGCACCAGGAGTGGGTAGTATTTCGTACAGTTGTCATATTTAGCAAAAAAGTCTGGGATGTCAGTTGATGAAAGATTCGCCGGTTGTTCTCCGTGTTTCTGATTCGTTCTTGACAAGAGAAGCTCGACTATATTAACATATAGATCAGAATTTGAATTTCCTATATGAACACCATCGCACCATAAGCAAATTGTATATATCAACAGTAGAGGCACAGAAGTAAGTTCTGCATTTTTTCTTCTTTTGATTTCTTTCATGAATTTTGTGACGTCATTTTTTAAAGCATCATCATTCTGGTGAGACTTTAGTCTTTGTAATATTCTCCTTGTAAGTGTATCTGCCGAGTCTTCACTTAGTTTTGTTAGTTCTACTTTTTGACCTACTTCAAACGAGTTAAGGTTCAAAACACCTAATTTCCATGGTCGCGTGGTTGTCATAACTGTACACTTTTTTTGGTCTTTCCTGTGGGGGATCGATCGTGGCCTTTTGTAACATTTCTTGTCGGGGTGTGTCCATTCATCTAGTCCATCTAGTATCACAAGGCATTTCTCATTTTTCAAAATTTTAAACAGGACTTCTTCGGGAAGCCTTTCTTCAAGACCCAAATTTGAAATAATCTTTTCAAATATGAGCTCATCTATAGAGCACAAATCGTCCGAATCTCGCAATAAGACTAGGAATAAGAATTCAAATTCTTGCATACAGTCTACATCATCTTTTAACAAAAGATCATTTAAGTCTTCATCCGGGCAATGCGCTTGACACCACACGTTCGCCAGATACTTTGAAAATGCAGTTTTTCCGAGTCCAGCATCAGCGAGTACATATATTTCTCGATTTTCTATATTTTTAGTTTTGAATAACTCCGATAATGATTTAACTGGTATTTTTTTATCATTTCCCGTCGATGTTGAGACTAGTAAGCTCAGTTCCGGTCTGATATAGAAAGAAGCCATCGGTGTGTGTTTCTCTTCAAAAAGAGGCGACAGGAAAATTTTACTATGTCTTGTTTTGTAGAATTCAAAGAGACCATCTTTTACTTCTGAAATATATAATAGAAACACAACATGTATATATACATGTATATTGCTCAAAAATTTGAAATTTATTGAAAAAAAACAGATGATTAATGATAAATGAAAATTGTGCTGGTCGACCACCACCAAAACCGGACAACCATCAAACCCGGACGGACCAGAAAATGCTTAATTTAGTATTGTCTTTGTTCAGTGGTTGTCAGTCATTTTTTTATCAACAATAAATGTTTGTTTAAAATTAAGTAAATAAATTTATTTCAACCACCGTAAATGGTAATATTTTAATGTATATTTCATGAATGTTGACATTGAAATTTGGGGTCAAGAAAGCCATGCCTAACCTCATATACCAGCTATAATCATTTACAGAGTAAACAATATAATATCCATAACTTCAGTATTTGTTGTTGACATATTATATATTATGTTTAAAATCAAAACACCAAAGCTTTTATCTGAATTACATCACATCATGTACATATCTGTCTGGACAAATGGTACTGTAGTTTAGACAATTTAGACAATTTTGATAACCTCATTGTCGAGCCTCAGATATAAGTGTAAATACATTCAGAAATAAACAAACTAATTTGTAAGATAGGAGAAGAACCAATCTGAACTGTGTCAAATTTTTAGGTCTCTAGGCTAAAATTATGACAAATGTTCAAAAAGTGTCTGGTTGATGGTCCCTGACCAGTATAAATATTTTAAGGTACCTATTTGTTACTAAACACAAATCCCCAATGAGTGTAAAGCTTTGCATCAATGTACTTATTGAAATGACCAAGCAATTATAATCATTGCGAATATTTTAACCAAATTTACACTCTCAACTCGCAATCTGGAGATAGAAAAAGGAAGGCACGATAATATTCCAAAAGAAAATAGAAAATGTCGAAATTGGCCACTAAATTTCGTAGAAACAGAATATCATTTCATATTAATAATCAATAGTTTACATAGATAGCTTTTTAAAACAATATTTGGTACATGGCCTACAATGCGAAAAATTCGAAACACTAATAACAAGCACAAATATTTAAACAATAATCTGGAAAGTTATCTGTATTATGCAAGGACATAACTTTAGATTACCCTTATAGTATCCGTAAAAACACTGTTTTCCTTATGAAGATTGGTAGAAGGTAGGTAACTACTATGGTTAGTACATACGACGTTTAAGTCATCTTAGAAATATTCATAACCGACTAAATATATTATGCAACGAAAACAAATAAATTTCTCTTTATGCAAACTCTGTTAGATATGTCTTAACCGTTGTTAATACTTGTCAACAATGCTTCTTGGCTAACTTACTGTAACTTACACTTTACACCACACAGTATTTGAATTGTATTACTATAAATTGCATGCATACAATTTATATTCTAAACATATATGTTATATGTCATATGAATCAAATAAAAATCTACTTGTAACAATTAAACATTGTAAATAACATTGTCACACGGATTCGAACGGTATTTCAATTAAACAATATTGATGCAACATGCTGATTAATAAAACATTTGTGACTATCAGAAACATTTATTTTTGTGTTGTTGTTTTTTAAATATATAACTAGAAAAGGTCAAACGATGTTTCATTTCGTTAAAAGAACAACAAGAGCGATCAGTAATCACATGTGTCGCCTCATGATGGCCAATTTCATGTTGGGACAAATTTTGTGACAGACGGACAGACATACGGACAGTGCACAACTAGACTTGGTACTGATCATTCCTGTAGGTTTGGATAAAATTGCACCAGTAGTTTATGAGGAGTAGTCCGGACAAGCTTTTGCGTATCTGGCAACACACAGAAAATAACACCTTTTTATCAAAGGGCCATAACTCAGCCAAAAATCATTCAACATGAAAACCCGTGCAATATGCGCAAGGACTTGAGCTACAGATCAATCTTGTAAAGTTTCATTGCAATTGCATTAGTGGTATAAGAGAAGTAGTCCGGACAAACTTTAAAATTAAAAAATATTAAAGGGCCTTAACAAAAATCATTGAACCGGAAAATGCTGACAATATGCAAAACTAGACTTGGTACTGATCATTCCTGTAAAGTTTGGATGAAATTGCACCAGTAGTTTATGAGTAGTCCGGACAAGTTTTGTGACGACCGGCCGGACAGACAGACAGACGGACAGACAGACGACGGAGAAGTGATCCCTCTATGTCGCCACTACTCCGTAGAGGCGACACAAAAATGAAGAAACAATCAATCACATAAACACATGTTTAGACTGTTTTTGTTCATTTTTACATTTCATTCAGTTATGTTTATTTTGATAAAATCAAAGAAACTATGCTGTTTGTAACCTTTGCAGTATTCTTGGATATAATTTACCAGTACTGACTTTGTACCAGGAAAGTGCTGTTCTAATTCCTTTACAAAGTGACAGAAATTACAAATCGAATATTTTGTTCTTGTCAATCATTTTATGATCCTATAACTTTTGTATGGTTTTATATAATAAATAGAATGTTCAAATTAAAATTTATCAATATCGTAAGTAACAAAAAGCATTATATTAAAGATATTAAAGAATTTACATTTCAAGTTAATAAAGGGAGGTAATTAGAAATTGTATCATAGTTTGGGGACCTTTCTGTTGAAAAAGTGTCAGAGTTAAATCACATACATATACATGCACAGTGCGGTAACTGGAGTGCAGGTATCAGTTACCCGCACTCCAGATCATGCCCGTTGATTGGCTCATTTTTGCTGGGGTTTACATATTGTGACGGCAAAGAAAGGGAAAGCGGCAGAAATATCATATTCAGATGCTCGATCATTGGTTACTTTTCCCGGTGTTTAAAATTGTGACAACAGGGAACGTGTTTTTTATGTTTGACTATGATACAAAAGAGAAAGAACACCAAAACACTCGGCAATCTGATTTATACTCGGGGGCTACGCCCCCTCGTACAAATCAGATAGCCTCGTGTTTCGGTGCTCTTTCTATTACTTGTTTATTTTTTCAATCAGGAATTAATGCATACTAGGGCTTTAATTCACAGGTTGGGGAAGCAGCCCTGACCTAAATTTTGGTAGAAAATTTCACGGTATATTTGCAAAAGAGGGAAACAAAACTTGATGTCAATTCAATTTTTTAGGGATGATTTTAAACAATTTCTTCTATGGGAAAGCAGTCCTATATTGGCCCCTGCTATAGAAGGAAAAAAACCTGATATATTTTAATGTTTACACAATGTGGACAAATATTTGCAGTACATATTTCACATATTTTTCGATGTTCGAAAATTGTTTTAAAATCATGATTATATACATATATAAAATTTCATTTAAGTGTGGTTACAATTTAAATTGAAGCATGCACGATCTTTAAGGGAATTGGGCAATAGTCTTTATAAAGCCCTTACCACTAAATCATGCTAGTGCTTTATATATAATAGTATCCACAATTTCAAATTCAACAATTTTACGCTACGGAACAGATTTATAACAATTTATGAAGATGTTTTGTTTTATATGACATAATAACAGTGTATTTATTCTTTACACTATTCTACATAAAGAGGACGATTACAGATAAGTCGCTCACCTGAAAAATATTTCAATGTTTATACGAATTCAAAAATTAGCACCTATATAAATGAAAGGACATGTGTAGCAACTTCGATGCAATGCATTAGATATGAATAGTGACAATAAAGCCAAACAAGAAAATATGCATCTGTACTTAAATAAAGATTGTAATAATTTCTACACACTTTAACAACTGACGAACCCTTTGAATGTCTGTATATTCTATAAACACATGTTAAGAAACACTTAACAACTTTACTTGGCAAACATTGATCATATGTTCCTGCACCTTAATATACATGTTTGTCAAATAAGAGGAGGAAAATGTATGGTTGAATTCTCTTTTTGTATGTCTTCATATCACTGCTGTATGTACACAGCAGTGAAAAGTCATTTAGCGGATAGATAAAAATGCTGACAACGTTTTGATTGTATTAATTTCATAGACACTTGGGAGTCAGACCCAGATAATAGGGTCCCGCTTTGTCCCCAAGCGTGTCTATCTATGATCATACAAGTTGTCAATGTCCCGCTGTACGGGAACTGAGTTTAAGGACCAACTTTTGGACCCAATTTCCCTATTTTAAAGGCATAATAATTTTTCTCGCTATTTCTTTAAAAAACAACAACAACAACCCCATCCAAAAGAGATTTTTTTACTTTTTTATAAGTGTGGAACGGACAGGGACACTGTCGTTTGAAAACAAAATGGTATTGATCCACAATTGACATTTCTATCTTTATACATACAGAAAGTTCATATATCTCCTAATTCCCCATGTCTGTGTGCATGCCGCTACTATACTGAATTTTGAGGGACAATCTGACCGTAAATTACCGACTCCCAAGTGTCTAACATTTCTTAGTAGCTTCATACACTGATCCGACGAAACAGAGGAAAGGAAAAATAAATATTCCCTCCACCCCCTCCAAATATTTAGTCCAGAGTAAAAATTTACTAAGCATTTGTCCGGCATTATAGATTACATATGATAGATAAAATCAATCAAAAGTCATTATCAGCAGTATCCATTTTTTTGTAAATGGAAAAGAAATATTTAAATTTATTTAAAAGTTAAGTTAAGTTATATATAATAAATACAGAAAAATACAACACATTCTTACCAAGACATCATTGGAAAAAAAGAGAGAGAAAAACGAAAAAAATCCTGGTTAATTGTTCTCGTTAGTTCGTACTTATTGACCTTTTACCAACCATGACCTTAATGCTGTGCAATGATCATGCATATCATATGCACATAGTTTAAATTATTTCAAGTCTTCCATAAAGTCAAAAAGTTATCAAAACATATAACGTTGACCTTGGGGGTAGCAACCTGCAATGGTTTAAATGTGATGGCCAGACACGAAATGAAGACTTTCCAACATTTGACCTGTAAGTGTGACCTTGACCTTAGGTGTAGCAATTCAATTGCA